TCATCGCTGTCGTGCACTTCTGGATTGAGGTGAATCCAAGTTTGCCGGTGCAATCCATCTTGCACTTGAAGTAGCTGTCGAACTCCTGGATGAAATTCACAATCCCGAGGAAAAGCTTTCGGCTCATCCGATAATGGCGCCGAAATACTTTGTCGCCGTGCAGTGGAGCGTCGGTGAAGTAATCGAAGTAGAGCATACAATAGCCTTCAAGACGATGCCGGTTCTTTGCTTTCATCCGCCCCGGTGATGAGCCACCTCGCCGCGACTTTTCATTGCTCGCCGGCAGGCCGGCGAGGGGCGGCAAGGACCATGAGATGTTCATCTTCCTGAATGTCGGCATCGGCTTCCTCCTCCAACAGCGCCGCGAGCGCCTCCTCGTCGTCCGAGTCCATTGCCGAGGCAGGCAAACCGCCGAACACCTTGCGTGCGCGGTGGGCGCGCACCCACCGGTACACTGCCCCTCCGCGGCCGGAACGCCGGAAATATCGCCCAAACGGTGGTGGAGAGGCTGCCTCGGCGAAACCTCTACTCTTTTTCCGGCAGGGAATGGCCTATCTAGCGGTGGTGGGCGATGGGCGACGCCGGGATCAGCCGGGTGGCGGCCGAGCGCGCGGGGGGTGGGAGGCGAATTTGGACGATAGACTTGAACTTTCGCCTGACAGTGTGGGCCAGACATGCTTTTCCCTTGCGCCGGAGCGCCCCCCAGTTCGCCGGATTCGGTCTGCGATCGCCGGTCCCAACAACGGGCCGAGCTGGCGGATTTCGGCGTCCTGGGGGCGCGACTGGTGCGTTTTTTCGGCGCCGGCGCGGAAAAAGTCGCCTGGGGGGCCTGTTGGGGGCGCGGCTGGAGATGCTCTAAGCCAATAAGCATGCCGACGAGCAGAGTAAGGCAGAAGACAATCAGCTTGTCACCACAAGTTCATGCCTAGGCCATCCTATAACAAGTTAGTCCGTTCGTATTTTACTCCGCATATTATCTTTGTCTTGGGTCAAACTTTCCGAAGTTTGATCAAGCCTGTGCAAAAAAAAAAGAACATATAGAATATCAAATAGGTACTACAATATAAAAATATATTCCATAATGGATCCAGTACTATTGGTTTGGTATTGTAAATGTCCATATTTTTTCCTACACATTTGGTTTGTATGGTTAGACTCTGGCCCGAAGGGTGTTCATACCCTTTGTGAACTACTACCTCTGTAACAAAATATAAGATGTTTTTGCAGTTTAATTTGAACTGCAAAACATCTACTCCCTCCGTCCCATAATGTAAGACGTTTTTTGACATTAGTATAGTGTCAAAAAGCGTCTTACATTATGGGACGGAGGGGGTAATATTTAGTCATAGAGGTAGTGGATTGTAATACCCAAACTTATTGAGCATACAAGATTGATTTTGCAAAAAAAAAAAAGAACTACACAAATTTGATTCAAGAGGAGTAAAAAGAAAAACAACAAACAAGGCTGGCATCTGGTCGGTGATAGATAGCTAACTCTGGGGCACATGCTCCTCTACTGTTCACCATAATAAAAGAACTATAGCATGGGCTTACTGGTGACACATATTGTGCCGGCCAAATGACCATCCGGACCGACTGCTTACTGTTCTCTGGTACTGGTACTGGTAGTATCGATCCACATGTCAAGATCATGGCCACAAGGCGATCTTCTCCCTTCCCGCTAATGGTGGCGTACGTCGACGATAAGATGACATCCACTAAGCCCTATGGCATGACAGGTGCCCCCCGGTCGCGTCAATCCATAATCCCATCATGTGTTATTAAACCTCACGGCACAGGCCAAAAAGCATATATCCTTAATTTTCCAACATCCAGTGGACGCTGCTTTTGCTCCAACTTTGAGCGGGGTGACACCAAATCACAGGGAATTGGGTGGTGGCCTTTGGTTCCCTCTGCATTGCAGTCGCTGTCGCCATCAGTCGTCACCCCCACATGCGAAATCAGGATAAAAAGAGTGCAAATTCAGTGTTTCTTATCACCCCCGCGGCCACGGGCATCCACATCATAACCGAGATCAGAGCACCACAGGCTCACATCATCAGTCGGAAGCCATGGTTTTTTCTACCATTTCACAGATAATCACTCCAGGTGTAAAAGCTCTGAATATATACTTACATTGCTTGTCACCATAATCTTTGGAACGAACTTGACAATCCGTCGACTCGTGGTTTGCGGTGGTCACCATCATCATAGGAAGAGAGTTATCTCCCGGCAACTGATGTGCACCACAAGAAATGGAGAATTAAAACTAACCAAAGGAACCAAAAATCAATCTGCTCAAGCGGAAGCAAGAATATTCTAATCTAATAGTAGCATTTCACCATCTTATCCTACCAAAGGCAATAACCCCTGCCACCCACTTTCTGGTCAGTTTCACCATCCTGCAAGAATTCACATACCGAGTCATGACTCATGAGCTATATATAAAACCATTATTTTCATTTTACCAATTACTAAGCATACAGTAAGCATTGGCAACGTACATGTGCCACAAGGATCAGTTTGACACTGAAAAACACAAGAATTGATGGAAAACTTGTGCAAAGCAAAGAAAAGAACACAGTTCTCCCTGGACGTTTCAATGCTTTTTCTCGGAAAAAAAAATACGAGGTGAACTTCTAGGTTATAGCCAAAATGTATAAAAAAACAAAAAAGGAGAGAAGAAACATAAAGTGAGCCCAAGCCTTTATTTTCAGAAAACATTTTAGCCTTCTTCCCAAAGGCCAAGGAGCATCAAAAATAATTGAAAGGATTTTGAGATACACATATATGAGAAAAGGACCTGACTCAAGTGATGCAATCAATGGGCATAGGAACAGGAACTAATTGTTTTTTTTAAACCGATCAGGAACTAATTGTCACCACACTGATGATGACTGATCAGTGTTCCAATAAAGAAGCAAGCGAGAAGAGCTCGGATGCGAAAACAACTGCAGTGTATGGGGAGCCTTCAGAAAAAAAGATGCCCAAGATAAAAAGGTGTAGAGAGGCCACAAAGTGGACTGCAAGATTGGCAGGTTGGTGGCCTCCACATCAGTGCTGCCTCCCCATGCCTTCCTGGCTTGCTCCTGGTCATGCAAAAATTGTACTTATCTTTTTGTGCTGAGGGAACCTCCAGAAACATACAAAAAGCAACTAATTCCATAGCAATGGAGAAGTTAGGCCATGAGGATAAAATACTGCTCAGGACCCTACTGTCCACATACCTGCCTGACTTTTCTTAACTACTGTCTCCACGAAGGCATATGTAGTATACAAAAGTCAGCAAATGAGTAGAAATTGGGATCTACACAAGATCCAGTATCTAGTTACATTTTCGTCACATTCAATCAACAAAGGCGCCCGGATATAGCACAGATGGCCTATGTTGTATGACCGATTGCTATATGAACCAAATCTGATGAAAGAAATACGCAAGCATTTAGCGAAAAGGGAAACAGCATGCATATCCACTACAAAGCTCACCCTAGTAGTCATTATAGATGCACAAAAGCTTGCTCCCATGGCGTATTGAGTGGCAGGTCGCGCAATCGCATACACTTTGTATTGGAGTCGTGTATAGTCCGAGATATTTTGCTGTGCGTGGGATAATGGTTGAAAAGAAAGGAAAAGATAAAGTCCCCTGTGCCAATGATAATGGCTGACAGAAAGGAAACATGCATATGTAGTAAAGATCGTGGACTAGCATATCCAGGAGATATAAAATAGGGAAGAATCGAGAGATGATTGTGTCAACCTACATATGTGGCCTGATTTGCGTAAAGATCGTGGACTAGCATATGTAGCCTGCGAGTCTTGTGAGTTTACGAATATATATTCCTAAAGCAAGTAGGGGCACTCATGGACTAGCATAAAACAATTCTCAACAGACATGCTTCATAGCTTAATATCTAGTAAGATAACCAAAATAAGAACATACTTTTGGATTTTTCATAAAAAATACATAGTATCGGGGTTTTTCTGATTCATAAAGATCTCTAAAGATCCATTTGTAAATGCACGAGAACCATGTAGAAACAAAAAGATTGAAATGGGCCTTATCAGCATGCTTAAACTGCAGTATCTGCATGTACAAGATTATATGTTCCCAAGAAAATTCCAGTAAGAAACATGCACCGGCAACAGTCCAGTTCAGACTTAAAACTTGCCGTTTGTTTTGTCAAAGAAATTGATGCTAAAGCTAAGAGCATGAAATTATTGCATGGAATTATTTTTTGACGCATATTGTATGGAATTATAGAAAATGGAACCCAGAATAATTATGTTTCTCTTTCTATTTTTGAGAAACGTAACAACACCTGCTCGTCGTGCCTTTGGACTAATTATTTAAATGAGTTAGTAAAAATGAAATAAGCATACACTTACTCAACAAACAGTTGCAAAAATACATCACGTTTTACGGTTTGCTTCATTTCTTTTGCATTTCAGTTAACAAAATTGCATGTGTTTGCCTTCACTTCAAAAGTAATTTCCATAAAATATGCCCACACACAAAATAATTAACCAAAACCTACATGCACATATTGCTCTACTTTTTTGGGGAACATGAGTGTGCTATTAATCAAAAGGAGTTAAGTCAACTCACAGAGTAAACCGGCAACAAACAAGAGTTAGATGCAGTCCAAATCCAGTATATGTAATACTATACCCTTCTAAAATTTGTAACACAGAGCAAGAGACATGAGAAGGCAATTTTAATCTGAGGACAACCTCATCGATGATTCTCTAAATCAGACCCACCACGTAAAGAGGCCCCATGAGGGCCTTCTTGTCCTGCCTATAAATGAGAAGCAAGAGCCATCAAACCAGTGCACAACTAAGACAAAGTGGCTTCCTCTCACTAATACCAACCTTCTTCCCATCAGGCTGGAGTTCATCAAGGATCTAAGCCTGAAACTGGAGCCCACAAGCACACAGAGGAGGAAGAGCAACAAGGCTGGCTCCCAGCCCATCCAAGGTAGAAGCGAACAACGTTAGAGATGGTGACAGTGCAAGATGAGATGCGCAAGGGGCCATGGACAGAGCAGGAAGACCTGCAACTGGTATGCACTGTCCGCCTGTTCGGTGACCGCCGCTGGGATTTCGTTGCCAAAGTCTCAGGTTTGAGGGGTGGGAGACCTGCAAATTAGGTAGCCATTTTTGCAATCCTTGGCACAAAGATGCAAACAGCATGCAAATATCATTGTCTCTAACCAACTATCTTCATACATCACCTTATCTATGGCCATGTAGGCCTTAACAGGACAGGCAAAAGCTGCCGCCTCCGGTGGGTAAACTACCTCCACCCTGGCCTCAAGCATGGGCGCATGTCGCCACAAGAGGAACACCTTATTATTGAGCTCCATGCTCGATGGGGTAACAGGTTTGATCCAAAAGAAGACCTTACTAAAGCAGCTGTTTTTTTCATCTACAACAGGTGAAACGCACTAACATCCTCTCTATGTATAGGTGGTCTAGAATAGCACGCAGACTGCCAGGGCGTACGGACAATGAGATCAAGAACTACTGGAGGACACACATGAGGAAGAAAGCACAAGAGAGGAAGACAAACATGTCACCTTCTTCCTCCTCATCATCATTTACATACCAATCCTGCCTCCTTGAAACTGCACCAATAATCAGGATGGATGGAGGCAGCACTCATAATGGCACAACCTGCTTCTCAAGTGTACTTAAGAGCAACCAGAGTGTCATGGATGGATATTCTATAGACCAGATATGGAAGGAGATTGAGGCACCGGCCATGCTGCCCATTGATAAAAAAGCATGCAGCAATCTCCCATGTCCTGTGCTGCCATCTCCTATGGGAGATCGCTACTGCCCTCCTGAGGTAGTCTGGAAGATGGACAATGGTGATCTCAAGATGTTAGCTCCACAATTTGGTTATGGTAATGGAGAACGTTCCTGCTATTGAAGGTTCAAGCTGTCAGGATCGAGGTCAGGTTACTAAGATACATATATATGCTTAACAGATTTCCACTACCTATGTAGCTATGTCTGCATATACATATATATGCTTGCCAGAATTGCCAGTAGCTACGTTTGCATTAGTATGGAGGGTGATCTAAATATTTACAAATCTACTGTAACATTGTAGATTGTCAGGTCTGCTTATGATGTGTGTGCCTATGTAGTGTGTAAAATAGCTTATGTCTCTTGCCCTTCACAGAATGGAATACGAGAGCAATTTATATGCATGATACAGAAGTCAATCTCCAATGATATTTTGGTAAAAGAGTTAGATTGACACGAATGAACATTGTACTATCAGAATTATAATATCTCCCCCCACCTGATTCTAAAGCTACAAACAGGGCCATGAGATTATATGGCTGTATCTCAAGGAGCAAACAAAAGAAGAGGAAAATGGGTACAGAATCAGCATTATTTTTTTCAAATCGTTCTTGCTATTACACTCTCATTTCCTTCGGCAGGATGTTGAGATTGAATGCTCTTGATAAAATGGCTTCTGGAACCTAAGGAACGTCAAAGAGAACAAGTATTTCTCCAATAAACACGCGGGCCCTGGAAACATTTTTTTTAATATGCAAACTGAGGCTGCTGTACAGACATCTGTATGCATATTTGATCTGAGTGGAATTGACAGACTTGGTGCAGAGTGAGTGGTCTATCACTTCAATTCTCTTAAAAAGGCTGAGCATTAGACTTTGATAGAACAAAAGAATGCTAGATTGTATTCGACACATAAGGTTAGCAGGAAGTCGTAGATCATCCATTTAACAAATAGGAAAGTTAGCACTGCGGCAAGGTAAATAACGGGAGGTGGTAAGGGACTGGCACATAAGATGAGCAGGAAGTTGCAGATCATCCATTTAACAAATAGGAAAGTTAGCACTGCGATAAGGTAAATAAAGGGAGGTGGTAAGTGACTGGCACTTCAGATTTCTATAGCCGTCTACTTTGCTGAAAGTAGTATCTTATCTTGCAACTGATAAGCATGTATTTTCTTCTGATTGGGTGAATCTAGTGCTTGGACCACCTAGACACAACCATCATTAATCTGTGTTCCTCCACAACATTCAGAACTAGATGAAAGCTTAGATGTGGAGGTAGAGTTTAGAAGTTATATTTCTTCTCGTTCTTCTTCTATGTTTAGCAAATAAAAATTAACAAAGGACACCAGTCTCATATTGTTTCATGTGGAGCAAAATGCTGGCCTGGAAGAACTGCAGATATTCACCATAGCATTCAAATTCACCTGTGATTTATAATAATTATGAACAAAGAGGAAATCACAAGTACAAACAGGTCGCAAGATGTGATTAGCATGGAAAACCTTCAGAGCAGCCAGTGGCCAACAGTAAAAACACCCAGGACAGATACTCATACTATACTTAATGCAAAGTCATCAGCATCAATTTTCAATCAATCTGAAAGCTCAATAAAGGAATTGGTACATAATGCAAAGCTTAGTACTCCACTGCTAGTTAGTACCAGAAGGCTCTAGGTCATTTCTGAGAAAGAAAATAGGAGTTTCAAATCCTTCAATGTATTTTTTTCTACCTTTAGACAGTCAAATCAAATACAAAAAAATTGCAGCTGCCCATAGCTTATCCCTCAGTTCACCATTTCATCTGCTTAAGTTCCTCAAGAGGGAATTCACCCCCCAGTCCCCAGCACACATGACTTGGAGTCTCACGGCTGGAAAAACGAATCTGCAGGTACACCAGAAGATTAGGGGCAAGAAACAGCAGAATCGCTAGCTGCCCCTGCGACTTGGATTGCCAGCTACGATCCAGACAACACCCAAAACATATAGAAAGCACTAATCTACAGCACATACAGCAACCGCATCGGCGGTACTTCTTCTCACCTCTCCGACCGTCGATGTTGCGGACGCTGAGAAAGATCTCCCCTCGTCGCCGCCGCCGACAAGGAGAGAGCAGGGCCTTCGCAGTAGTAAGAGAGAGGGAGAGAGCGCAGGGATTGTTTTTTTTTTA